ATACATCTTGGTGAAAAATCGGCATGAAGTAGTGAAATTATCATGTACAAAACACTTAGAAAATTTTCTAAGTCTTGAAAAGTTTGACTTTTAAAATTGATTTTGATTTACTTGACTTCTTGATGATCAAGCTTGACATTATTGAATGTCTTGATGAATTTTGATCTTTGAAACTTAATATTGACCCAAAAGTCAAAGTTTGACTTTTGGTGTATCAGTTAACTTTTCATCAGTTGACTGAATTTCAGCTATCAATCAATTGATCTTGAGAAATGAATTGATATATGCAATTAGGTAAAAATGATGCATTTGAATCCTTGAGACCAACTTTCAAACCAATAGATTGTGTATTAGGTCAAAAGTTAGTGATCAATCGTTCTCAGTCAAAACCATAATTTATGGTTTCAGTGTTTCGGAGGTGATTTTGTCTGATAAATTCCTTGAGAATCCTTGAGCATTGGAGGTCCTTTGTGAAATGCCTTGAGAAAAGAGAGGGAAAATTTTGGGGTACAACAAGTGGCACGTGATGTTTGAAGTGAGGTTGTGATTTGAAGGTCAAGGGCTATGATTTTGTAGGTTTGTGGTGAGTTTTTAGCAGAGATTCAGTATGATGATTGTTGGTTTTTTTTCGTTTATAAAGATATTTGTAACTTATTCCTATTTATAAATAGAATTGAATCAACAACAAATTATTTTCAATTTATAAAAAATATTTATAACTTATTTTGGTTTATAAAATCAATTGTATCAACAATATACTTTTTTTATGTTAATTAAAATATTTGAAACTTATTTTCTTTTACAAAATCAATTGTATCATAATCATTAGACTTTTTCCCATTTATAAAAATATTTGTAACGTGTTCCCGTTAATAAAAATATTTGTAATTTAGTATTTTCCTGTTAATTAGTATTTTTAATAATAATAAATAAATATGATTGATTAAATATGTTGTAAAAATAAAAACTTTTAAACTCATATTTAGATAAAGTATAAATTAATTAATATATATTTAAAATAGTCTTTACAATAAAATATATTAAAATTTTTAAGAATAATTTGACTTTTAAATATTTGTATGAAGATATTTATCAATTTTTATTTTAACAAAAAAAGTTTAAATCATTAAACTAATATCTAAATATTAACTCCATGTTTAAAAAAAGGATCATGCCTTAAGGGCACGTGTTAAGGATATTATAATTAAAAAAATTAAATGTAATTAAATATAATAAATTTTTATTTAAAGTTTCAAAATATTGAATCTACGCATTCTAATATAATATTTTTATAATTTTTAGCTTATTAATATGTATCCTTGAAGTACATGTTAGCTTTTTCTTTAAAAAAATATTTTGGCCATGCCTTAAAATAGAGTTATTTGACATCATAAAGTACCTTTTAAGAAAACACTTTTGTAATGAATTTAATTAAAAAGATATGTACAAATTAAAAAAATCATTTTATGGCATAAGTTTATTCTATAATCATATGCAGTAAATATAAAAGAGATTAATTACAATTACTAAGGGAAACTTTATGGATATTGTTTATTATATGTTTCATATATATATATATATATATATATATATATATATATATATATATATATATATATATATATATATATATATATATATATATATATATATATATATATATATATATATATATATATATATATATATATATATATATATATATATATATATATATATATATATATATATATATATATATATATATATATATATATTTATATATATATAATATACATTTTCTCCGTATTAAAGTATACACAATTTTTTATGATCAATCAAAATTGTCGAATTTAATCTTCCATAACAGATATAGAACAAATTGAAAAATAATTTATTTTAGCCAAAAATAAAAAATAATTTTGAAAAATTTGTTTTTAAAAAAAAATTAAATTTTTTTCCTAATTGTATTTTATTTTATTTTATCCAAAAATTAAAATTCTTTGAAATTTTAACAAATTTTTTTTTCAAAAAATACATTTAACAAATAGAAAAAGGAAACAACATTTAACAATACATAATACATAATACAAAAGACTATACTAACTTAACATGAGAAAACAACATTGTGTTATTAATTAATAACACAAAATTTTTAGATCCTCGAGTGAAAATATTTTTCGCAATGTGTATCAGAACTCATGCTATTCGTGCTTCTCTCTTATAGTTACCTTAAAATAAATTAATCTTAACGGAGAGATAATATATAATAAATAGATTTAAAACACACTATTAATATCTATCTAATTAACAAATAAAGTAAAAAATTGTCCCAAATAAAATATTTATTTGGAAAAAATAGGACAAAAAATCGTGACATTCCGTCTCCATTTATACGTGAAACACTCTTTATTTTCCAACAAAATCTCAAATTAAAACTAAACCAAAACCCACTAAAATAGAAAAGTTAAAGTGCTTTACTCTCTCTTTCCTTGATTCTATCAACTAATTAAAGGACAAAACTTAGGTACAATTATTTAGGTTTAGTTCTTAGTATTTTCCAATAAAAATATGACAAGTATACTTAAATATCATTTAAGAAGAAAAAATAGAAACAATTTGCATATGTGTATGAGGAAATTATAGGTTTGTTATATATTTCTTGATAAATAGTAAGAATTTCACCTAAGAATTTGTAATACCCCAAATTTTTCCTATTCTTTTACTTTTATCTGGTTTATGCATTGTCGCGTTTCTCTCATGTACATAACTCCATTAGGTCATTTAACATTGCATACATTCATTAACAACATAATTTTTACATAAGATCAGTGATATTGTGGAACTAAGGTTGTTGTATGACTTTAAGGCTTTCATCCTCGCACAAGCTTGTTTCAATTGATTTCTCCATTGATCATTTGTTTAAAGCTAGGTTTTCATTTCATGGACTTTATCATCATCAAGCTACGAGGATATTCTTTTCTTCTCAATATCAAGTTGCGAGGTTTTATGAAATGAAGCTAAGAATAAGGGTTTATATCTTATCATACTTAAGCTTGTCAGCATTCTACTTGAGGTTCATTCCATATCAAAGTATTTGCATGTCTCATCTTTCATATTCGTCTTTAAAGAATCCCCCAGGGCATAGTCATTATGTTAAAATCATCTATAGGGAAGGGGTTTTGTCAAAGAGATGTTATGATTTGTGAAGTATCATCATTCTTTGGGATATTTGTGCTTAGCATGCAAGTTTGGGTTGAATTGAACAAAAAAAAAACCCAAAGTGAATTAAGGTTTCATTGGGCTGAGTTAGGACTGTGAAGTGTTCATTCAAGTTTTGATACTAAAGATTCAAGTTTGTTCAAGTTTGCCGAAACGGCATCAAAGCTACATGTTTTATTCGTTAAGCATACAAAGTTGGGAAATGTATTTAGGGAGTTTCCTTGGAGTTCAAGTAACAAGCCATCATTCAACCTTATTTTACAAGACGAGCTCAAAAACAACGCCTTGACCATACTTGACTTCATATTCATGACCTTTACAATTTACATTTGAGTAATCGTATCATTACGATTCTATGGAAAATAAAAGGCGATACTTTGAGCACTTAAGAGAGTTGATATTGAATTTAAGATATTCAGTACTCCTAATTTCCTCACACTATCAACTGTCATCGGAGTTCAGTTTGAAATAAAAAGAAATAGGATAAGCTTCTCCATTAAAGTCCAAGTCCCATACAAGATTTACTCAAAAAAGGAATATACAATTTGAGAAAAGATTTAAAGAGGAAAGAATTACAAGATATCAATTGTACAAAATCTAAACATTATGTATAACTTCATGATTCTTCCACACTAAAATCCATAGCTTTCATGCTTCTGACTTTTGTTCTCTCGATTAAGTCTTCATTCTTCATGATCAAAACTCGAAACGTGTCGCATCCTTATCTCATCAATATACTCAGCTTTGAACTGTCCATGCTTTCAAATTGCTCCAAAACAACCTACACAGTCAAGAAAAAGGACCAAAGCGGTGGCACTTGAGTAAAAATTAAAAGCTACCAAATTCATTTCATTATTGCAAAATCCCAACCTTCCAAAACAGCCTTGCGAAACTTCTAACTATCATTCTAATTGGATTTGCTAGCTCATGTAACATAATTACCAAACAACTTTCCAACCTCACAGCTAACAAAATTCTGTAACAGAATTCAACAAACACTTCTAACATAATGTCTAATTTCCCTAACTTCTAACCAACTTACAGCAACATAATTTGTAACTGAATAACAAACTAGCAGAATTAAACTAACAGCCCATAACAGAATTCCCTAACAGAAACATAATTCCCTAACCTCTTTTCTAACCCATTCAACCACCTGTAACTAACTTCTAAAGGCTAACCAACAGTTTTAATTTCCTAACTGCCACTAGCAATATTTTAACAGAATATATAATAGGAAAGGGAAGAAACTCAGAAAAAGATATACAGTACACAGGGTAAAAAATTGGAGAAACTCACCAAAGAAACTCACCATAAGATTGGCTATCTTCCTCTCTGAATCGGGAACAGGATTCATCATCACCATTACCTATCTTCACCTTCGAATCAACTTCAAGCGTTCATGACCTTCATCAACAGTCTGCAACATCAACCTTCGCATATCATCAATCATCATCATCACACATCATCATCTCTGAACAACCTAGAATCTTTCTCAGTGTTTCTTAAACGCAACAACCGCACCAATCGGCACATGTATCGGGAAGCTCAGAGATCCGAAACTCGAAATCACAGAGTGAGCGAAAGAAAAATAGAAGATAGCAAACCATAAAACAGAAGGGAAGGATCTCACCAGAGGGAACACACAGAAGAACCACACAAAAAGCTTCCCTCTTCAATCTTCATAATTTTTTCTTCAATCTTCTGAGTAGAATCACCACAAGACCATAATCTTCATCTTCATCCTTTCATTTTCTATCCGCAACCATCATCTTCCTCCAATCTTCAACACCAAATCATCATATCCCCTTCCTCATTCTCGATCTCGCATCATAGCTATCCATCTCCACCTTTCTCTGCAATTGGTTCTTCCACGAATTCTTCATCATCTTCGTTAGGACTTTGAGTCGCAACACACCTCTCTTCTTCACAAATACAGAAGGCTTCAATAATTTTGAGTCTTGAAATCTGCAATGATCAAATAGCAACGCATAAACAGCGCCAAAAACATCAACGAAGATGTAGAAGAATAAAGAATTGAGGAAACCGTGAAGGAGTATTGGAAAGAGGAGAAGGAAGATGGAACGTACCAGAGCTGCGAAATATTCTCATAGCATGAACTTGCATTTTCAAACGAGATCGAAGAGGACACACAGTTCCAGTGAATGTGAATGAATGTTCAAGATCGCGGCCGGAAGGAGATGAATTCTTTTGCGGAGGTGCTGTGTTGCAAATCAGAATCGGAAATAGGTTGAGGGCAGTGTTAGCGGTGTTAACGACACGAAAAAGGGGAAGCATCGAGGTGTCCGTTGAAGAAGATGGCGAACATAAAGGTTTATAATGAGATGGATCAAGAGGTGAGGGCATGATGTTGCACAGATGAAGCTGAATACACGGTGGTGTACGGTCGGGTTTCTGGCGCCGCTTCACAATAGGGGAGCTCGTTTTGCGTTCAGAAGGAGGCATAGGGTCACATTAACCCTAATTCATCATCTTTCCCATTATTATTATTACTATTTATTTGTTAGAATAAACTAGATAATAATAGTATCATAATATGCTGAAAATATTTGATAAAGGTATCATGGTTTTGTTTGATTCTTTGGACCCATCATCGTTCACACTTCCTAAGGCCCAGCATCATCACTTTTTGGTTATCTTGTTTGTTGGTGAATAAAAATGGGTTGCTGGTTTGTTTACAATTGGGCCTTGTGCCACTTCCTGCACTACACGTCTAATACAATTTATATACTCTCCTGTTTAGAGTTGTGAAGTTTCTTTTTTGATTGGCTTTCATTTAATTTCTCTTGGTCATGATTTTTTTTAATAGAAATACATGACAAAACAATAAAAAGTTGTTAATATAACTCTCTGGAATTTATTTTTAGAATTTTGATTAGAGTTTCATTATCATTTTTGTGTTTGCTAATCATTTGGTTGCCATTGTTGTTTAGAGTTTATGACAATATTGAGGCAAATCCTTCGCGATTGGGAATACTTGGAGATTAATTTTTTGATCACTTGTGTGAGACAGCTTTGGTAGAATTTGCTTATTGCTTGCGTGGTTTTGAAGAGGCAACTGACTTGCTCTGTTCGGTATCATCACAACCTTATTTTATTCCTCATTCTCGCACTTTACCGCTTTCTAAAAATCATGAGAAGTAGGGCTTTATCGCAAACCATATGCATGCTAACATTAGGTAGATGTTTCCCTTTCAGTCATCCTTGACTTAGGGATACTAATGCACGATAACATTAGGTTTAGAAATAGGATAGTCCCCCTCTGACTTTTCTTTCTCCTTTTGCATATGCATTTAAAACAAAAACTTCTTTTTCTTTCAAAATTCAAAATACTTTAAAACTACTGATGAGAATCATGCCTTTGCTTAGTATGGGAAATGATAAGCGGGTCTCTTCTCGATCTTATTGTTCTTCATCTCAGGCTTAGGTGTGGTTCAATTCTCAAAGACTCCTTTCATAGCTAAGTATAAAAGTGGCTAATATCTCTCTCTTGAGGTCAACTAGTCATTATCTGCAATAAAATACAAACCAACTCAAACCATTTTGTGCGTTCAAGCACCTTTTTCTAAGAAGCCCTTTTCAGGTAAGGACATGATTAATTTACTTCTGTGCCAACGCATAAGTCTTCGAAGGTCGAGCTGCGGAAGAAGGCGGAATTAATTTCGTCCATAAAAAACAAAAACAAACAAAAACATGTGAGCCGAACTACGGTAGCTCTGATTCCTCAAAACGAATATGTAGGCATTGGGGTAGGGCCCAAGCAAGCACAATTTTATTTTCCCTACATTCTTTTCTCCTTCCTTTTGCATACATTCTCCCTTTAGCCGTAATAAATAGTAAGCATAGATTAAACACACCCATAAGATATATAACAAGAGTGGATAACGTAGAGTACTACGGGCGTCTGGGGTGCTAATACCTTCCCCCCACGTAACAGACTCCCTTACCCGATCTCCCAGTCGCAAGACCGTGACTTCTCCCTTCTCAGGTTTTCTCGATGTTTACCTTTCCCTACATATGGGATAAAATACATTCGATGGCGACTTCATTGTTTGATGATTTTCAGCCGGTTGTTTCAGAATTGTACCTAAGTTTTGCTCATAATTAAATTACTTAAATTCCCAATTAATTTTAATTACTCATTAAATGTAAAAGGAAACAAAAAAATCCCCAAAATCTATCTCATGACCACAACTCTGCTTTCACGAAATTTTCTCTACATTCATTGTAAGAAAAAAACAAAAAAAAAAACAAAAAAAAAAAAACAAAAATTTATCCCATAACCACAACTTTGCTTTCAAGATATTTTCTATACATTCATCATAAGAAAAAACAAGAATAATATGCAGTGATGTTAATTATGGTACAAGGAAACATACAAATAGTTGAAAAGACAAGAAATTTAAAATGTATACAACATAATTCTAAAACTGAACGTATACAATTAGCTTGTCTTTAATATTGCACAGCAGAATGATAACTTCTGCAAAGGTTTCCCTGCCATCTGCTCGTCTGCAGTCTTCAAAACTATTCATCTAGAAATCTTACCTTTATAACTTGTTCCTGGAAAATAATAAGAGGAATAGGTTGAGATTACTAAATCTCAGTGAGTTCCCCTATCTTATGGGTTCACTTGGTTCTACAAGGTATATGCATCAAACAGATTCACCGTGAATCTAGGTTTTCTCTCACGGCTGGGTACAAGTATACAACAACAGTACACCACCATTGGAAGTCCCATAACTTATCAATGAGGAAAAAAACAAATACATAATTAAAAGCAAACAAGTATGCAGACCCGTACCAGTATACGAGGAATCCAGGAGTAATTTTATTTGCCCCTACTCAGGTTAGACTTTCACACCCTCAGTGAGTAGCACCTGTGCATCGCATACAAAGACTGTCCCCGGCCATAGCACGATGAACCAGATCATTCCTAAGTGGAACTCCATCCATGATAAGTCCAAGAGTGACATGACCGATAAGATATCACAACTCATTCATCATCCAAACGCATATGATTAACTTCTGGTACAAAAACACCATTTCAAAACCACAATCCCACCGGACGAACAACCTAATGATCTTGCCTATATGGAACCATTAGAGGTGAGTTTAGTCGCGTTGTAAAATTACCTATGTGGCATTACAACCCTGCCATACCAAGCATGCAATGCAATTAACTACAGGTGGAACGCCATACAAGGACCCGCATAAGCACATCACAATGGTAGATAAGGTGTATGGCATACCGAGCATGCAGATGCAATTAACTACTGGTGGAATGCTGCACAAGGACTCACACAAGCACATCACAACTGTATAAATGACAAACAAGGTCTAAGTCATGAGTGATTTACGTCCTAGTATCCAGGCCTACTCCGATTCAAGCATACATCAAAATCACAACACCAAACGTTAAACCGGAGCGACGGGCAATCACAATCATCTCATATGATATCACATATTGCATAAGACATACAATATTCCATCCTAACATTCAACCAGAACGACGGGTAATCACAAATATCTCATACGATGCCATATATTTTATAACACATACACCAATATCATGGTATAACATTTTATCATATAATGTAAATTCAACATATTCATGTATATACACTTATGCCATAAGGGTTGATCTATCGCTAGGTAAGAGGCATCCGAATACCTACCATAATACGGGACTGCACTCAAGGGAGTTTAAAATAATATAGTTCTTCCCAGAAGGGCGCGCTAAGCAGAGCCTCCCGCGCTAAGCGCGCTCTGCAAAATAAATAATTTCCAAGATTCAGTAAGGTACGCTAAGCAGGATAGTCGTGCTAAACGCAATCAATAATTTCTGAAAAACCAACTCCCAGTAGGGCGCACTAAGCACGACCCTATGCGCTAAGCGCGTTCTGTGAACTTCCCAAATTCAACCATCAGAGGGGCGAGCTAAGCGCGGTCTGTGAAATGCAGAAAAACCAAAGTTGTAACAACTATGTCTTTAGGTCTCCAAACCTCATTCCCTCTTCTCAATCCAGGTTCCCATCAGTACACAAATATAAATTCATATTAGGAACATGTTATTCATCCATAGAATCAACATGCATTAGTAGGAATTATGGACTAACTATATCACATAAACCACAATCCCGACATAAACTCTAACATGAAATTGTTTAATTCTACCCCAAGTCCTTGCTAATGGAACTCACCTTGGATTACTAAAGTTTGATAGGGTGTTTTTGCTTCCATTTCATCCTCATCATGCTCAAAGCTCTACCTCAATCTTCATGAAATCCGCAGCTCACCTTTACCCATTTTCAGCAAGTTTACTCCAACTTCATACTCGATTTCCTCCTTCAATACATAAGTTATGATCACAAAATTATATATCCAAATGAAGGGAATTTTGTGTAGATTTCATAACTTCAAGAATTACCTGAAATGGAGCTACGAGTAAAAAATTATGGCTTGATGATTGAAGGCTGTCCCAAGAACTCGTACAGTAAACTCAGCTTCAGACCCCCTACTTCAGACATGATTATCTTCCTGATCACAAACATGCAGAAAACAAATATTATATCCAATTTGTAGATAATTTTGTGATCTTTCCGAAAATTCTGAAACCACCTCAATCAGAGTTGTCAGCTAAGAGATATGGCTTAATTTGTGGAGATTGTTCTTGGAGTGTGAAAATGAAATTAGAAGTGATGAATTTGAGTTCTCCATCTACTCTCTCTCTATTCTCTTATAAAAAAATCTAATTTGGTTTGACTATGCTACAAACATGTCTTAAGAACACATGAGATTCAAGGTTAATGATCATATTACCCTCCAACCATTCCATATCTACTAGTTTTCCATGTTGTCAAATTCTAACCAATTCTTGCGACTTCATCTGAAAATTGTCTTATCCGAGAAAACACAGTTCTTTGCTTCACTTGCATCCTTAGAATTATTGAATGTAAACTTTAGTCATCACACAACACGTCTCTCGTGACATCTGGTCCTCACATACCTGAGAAATAATTCGTTCAAGGTTCCTGACCCTGATTTATTCACACTGAATCTTCATAGTTTCAGAATTCCTGAAATTCCATCTAGTCAAATATTCCTCATCCTCCATATATGTCAAGCTCATCCTTGTTCAACACAACATTAATTCTCTTTACTTATTCTGTGGCTTACTTGTATTGCCTCAAATCCGCACATTTCTATTGCAGCGTCTCGTTCCAATAACAACATTTTCGAATCTCTTCCACACAAGTCCAAACACTGTCCTACAAATGCTTAACGAATTCCTTGATCCTGACCTCTAACTCCATGATGTTTAGATTTACTTATTCCAAGTCCACCTTCTTCACACCACAAAGCTTCTCGCTTCAAATTATACAAAGCATTCCCGCTAGATGCTACAAGGATATGCATTCTTATAGCTATAACATTGATATCCA